GCGGCGGCGGGGCCGTGCTGTGCGCCGGGCCGGGGGCGGCCGGTTCTCTCTCCATTGTCAGCGTGTCAGGTCAGCTTTGTGCTGCCTGCTCAGGCTGCTGGATGCACCTCCCGTGATTGGCATGTGCAGCTTGCGGCCCCAGCCTGCCTCAGCCTTGGGAAGCTGCTCTGTGCAAACGGGAAAGAGAAAAACACCCATCTCCCCAGGGCGGGCAGGGAGGAGTGCATTGTGTGGGGCTGGTGGGGCACAGTGCTGTGCCTGCTCCAACCGTGGGCTCCTTCTGCCATTTCCCTACTTGAGACACTCTCCTGTTGCCACTGAAGATGAATAGATCACAGGCACACAGCTCGAGGTGTGGTGAAAAGAAGAGAGAGTTTATTTTTCCTCCCAGGATTTAGAGGTTTCTGACCACAGCCAGGGATTGGATGGTCAGGATAACACTTTCCCACTGCACTGGCCATGAGAGATGCCCATCACAAGACGTGTAACAGAAAGAATGTACACATATCTATGTTTACAGTTGCTGTCCTGGGAAAGTCTTTAGAAAACTATGTTAGCAAGCTCAAAAGCTGAGTTTTCAGAACACTGTCCTACATGTTTTCTAACTACCATTTGTTTCCTCCCCTCACTGCTCTCTACAAACGGCAAAATCCAGGATCTCCTGATCCCTGGACAGCTCTCCCAGTGCAAGAAGTGAATTCCAGAGCTCCAAACAGCAATAACCCACCTGCCCACCTCCTGCCAGGGAGAGGGTTCTACTGTGCAGGTGTCTGCTGGTGTCTGACTGTCCCCCTCTCCTGTCTCTCTCTTCCAGCCCCTTCTGCTGTGTCCATCATGCACCAGGTGAGCCGCACCGTGGACAGCATCACCCTCTCCTGGTCCCAGCCCGACCAGCCCAATGGAGTCATCCTGGACTATGAGCTGCAGTATTACGAGAAGGTACTGAGGGACCTTGGCAGGGGTCACCCACAGCTTTTGGGGAGAGGAGGGGCTGCAGAGCTTCACTGAAGGGCATACAGTGGTTGGTCAGCAGGAGACTTCTGCTGCATTTGGGTGACACGTCGGTGACAGTGGCTGTCAGTCCTTGGGGTCCAGTGATGGTTTCAGTGGCCCAAGTGTAGAAAATCTGCTGGTCACCTCCACAGAGCTGGTGGCAAGTGGAGTCATTGCAAGGAGAGCAGGGTAGCCAAGGTCCAGGGTCTGTTTTTTCCCTTTTTGTGTCCTGGGGCATCAGTAGGAAGTGGGAATGACAGGGAACATGCAGTCCCAGGCTGGAGCACACTCAGTGGGTGTCCAACATTTGAGATCTTCTGGAGTTCTGTCCATGGGTGCATTTGCACCAAAGGTGAGTTTGGCATCTCAAAGCTGCTCCTTCCATAACCTCCGTGTCCAGGCAAGCAGAGGGTTTTCAGTCTGGACTGTGCCAGGGTGTCCATCCCACCAGTGCCTCCTCAGAGACCTCAGGACCACGTGAAGGTTGGTGTCAGGCTGAACTTCATCTGTACAGCCCAGAGGAGATGGGGAGCAGGAGACTTCTCCTTCCAGGAATCTGCTCCCTTGCACAAGAGCTTATAAACTATACATTATAAATTGCAAACTAACTAATTAAAAAGCTTTATGATTAAATGGAACTGAAAATATTTTTCCCAGCAGTTGCCGGAAGAAATGATTAATCCCCCCCACTGCCTGCCTGTGACCTATTTTCTCATCACCAAGAGCCAGAGGGAGAATGGGGAGGAGGGGGGGGCTTCTTTGTAAGCTGTTAAATAGGTCCTGACCTATATTGCATAAATCACAGCCATTTATTTTGACCCTTGGAAATGATCCCAGAATACGTGGCAAGATGGATGAGTAGATAACAAGACAGATCTGGGAAGCAAGAGGGGTCCTTTCCCTGGGGACCCTCAATGTAGAGGAAGAAGATCTCAGGGAGTACATTCTCCTCCTCTTACTTTATCTTAGTCTCTCACCTTCTTTCTTTCCTCCTTCTCCTCTGTTTTCTGAGGGAGGCTGTAAATAAAAGGAATTTTTGTCTAAAAAATGGTGCTGCTGTTGGTGGCCAGTCTTTGCAGGCACCCACATCTGCCTGTCCCATTATCAGAGTTAGGGCACAGCTTGTCCCTGATGATGGGGACAAGTGGCCCCACTCTCAGGCACTGCTGTTCATGGGGCACTAAGCCTGGCACAGAGGGCAGAGCTGGGCCGAGGTTCTCCCCATCCTGGTATTTCAGAGAACCATGGAATGAATCCCAGAATGGTTTAGGTTGGAAGGCACCTTAAAGCTCATTCAGTCCCACTATCCCAGCTTGCCACAAGCCCTGTCCAGCCTGGCCTTGGGCACTTCCAGGGATCCAGAGGCAGCCACAGCTTCATTTGGCACCCTGTGCCAGGGCCTCCCCACCCTCACAGGAAAGAATTTCTTGCCAATATCCCATCTCACCCTGCCCTTGGGCAGTGGGAAGCCATTCCCTGTGTCCTGCCACTTTATCCCTTGTCCCCAGTCCCTCTCCAGCTCTCCTGGAGCCCCTTCAGGCCCTGGAAGGGGCTCTGAGCTCTCCCTGGAGCCTTCTCCCGGTGAGCACCCCCAGCTCTCCCAGCCTGGCTGCAGAGCAGAGGAGTTCCAGCCCTGGAGCAGCTCTGTGGCCTCCTCTGGACTTATTCCAGCAGCTCCAGCTCCTTTCTGTGCTGGGACCCCAGGCTGGGGACATCTCACCAGGGCAGGACAGAGGGGCAGAGTTGTTTGAACCCCATGAAACTTTTTTTTGCTGGTTCTTGGTTTGAAGAAGGCCCAGTTCTATCTCCCCAGCCCTGTCTGTGCATAGAGACACTGGATCCTGCTCTGGCTGTTGGGCACAGCTGAGTCCCAGGTGAGTCCAGCCATTGCAATCAAAAGCCATTTACTGGATCCCTGGGAACAATCCCAAAATGCAGGGCTTTGGCTCTGCAGAGCTCTTCCCCTGCTTCCCATCAATCCAGCAGTTGGATGTGGTCTGTGACACATCCCAGGTGTGTTCTCACTCCGCTGCCAGTCTGTGCAGAGGTGATTTCCTTCCAAATATTTCATTACAAACTGTCCCATGTGCTCCTGAATGCTCAGCAAAGATCTCTGGAGCTGGTTAAGTTGTTTCTGGTGGAAAATTTTTTCCCCCCCTCAGTAGAAAATTATATTTTATTTTCATGAAAACAGCTCAAATGAAGAATAGCAGCATACACAACGTGTATAGAAAACACCTTGGCTCTTCATTTTTATTAGATTCTCTTCTATATAAAGACATAAATTAAATAAGAAAATAGAAGAATTTATTTTAGCGTTGGCAGAAAAGAGCTGTTCACAATACCTGAAACAAAGGTGTGTGTTTTTGTTTCCCTTCCACAGATTATTTATAACACTGCTATTCTTAGATGCCATTAAAAATGCCTGTACAAAGGCAACATTATGAGTTTCTTTCACGTGGAGTTGGAGCAAATCCACGCAGATTGTTGCACAAACACTGCCTGACGTGGCTGCCCTCTGCAGCCCTCACCTTAATGTGTTTTTTTTTTCACTTCCAAGAGGCACCTGCCAACGTTTGTCTTATTAAAAAAGTCTGTCTTGTCTTCATTTAGAAAGGGCGTAGCAGTTTTTATCCCAAGTTGCCAAACTCATCCCAGAGTGTGGGAACTGGAGACCCACTGCAGTGTCAAGGACTGCAAAGAGTAATTAGCCCTCCTCATTATGCAAAATGATTGGGTTTGATGATGCTCAAAGTCACCCGTTTTGGAATGTTTGAAGACATTCAGCCCAATTTGGTCACCAGTGCAGGATTGGAGGAGGCAAAGGAGCCCTTTGATGTCTCCAGCCAGTGCTGGACAAGGGGCGTGGGCTGGCTGGGGGATGAAGGGTGGGGGAGACAACCTGTGGAGGTGGAAGTGGAGGTGGAATTAGAGCTCCTGGTGCTCAGGAGCTTCTGGCCAGAGCCCAGCACCCCAGGACAAGGTGATCCCAGGGCTTGGACCAAGGGTGTTGGAGCTGCTGCTCCCAGGCTGACTCAGGGGACATCCCTGCCCATGCCAGGGGATGGAACAAGATGGTCTTCAAGGTCCCTTCCAACCCAAACCATCCTGAGGTTCTGTGGTTCTCTGACTTGTTGGACTCTGTCCTGCAGTGTTGGACACCAGAATCCACGAGCCTGGAGCCAAAGCTGCTGCCTGGTGTTTCCCATCTGTCCTGAGCAGGGGCTGCCCTCTTCACCCAGTGCTGCCCAAATCCTTGGAGGGGGCTCTGTCCCAAGAAAACTGGGAGTTCAGGGAGATGGAGAGGAAATCCTGCCAGGGAGCCCTGGGATAGCCTACCTGCAGTCCCAGACCCTGCCCAGGGCCACACTGGACACTGTCCAGGACTCAGTTGGTTTGGGAGAGGCATTCAAACACTCAGAGGATAATTAAAGTTGGAAAAGCCCTCCAAGATCAGTCAGTCCAACCTCCACCCAACCCAATGCCCACCAAGCCACACTGCCAAGTGCAGAATCTCATTTTTTGAGCACTTCCAGGGATGGGAACTCCACCACTGCTCTGGACAGCGTGTGCCAATACCTGAAAACCCTTTTAATGAAGAAATGTTTCCTCATATCGAGCTTGCACTTCCCTTGGCACAACTTGAGGCCATTTCTCCATGTCCCACTTGATGGGATTCCTGGCTGGGGGCACAAATGTCCCCACAAGTGGTGGACCCCTGTGAGAATCCAGGTGCTGTGGATTCACAGATGCAGCCCCAGCGTGGCTGGCAGGACCCTGCTGTCCCACGTGGGCATCCAAAAATGCAGCTGTGTGATGGTTTGGCACCCAGCCCTGGCGTGGCTGTGTCCTGCTGTGTTTGCCCCCAGGGCTGTGGCAGATGCCACTGTGCAGGCTTGCAGGAAATCTGCCAAATTCACTCACTTGACATTTTTTTTCCTTTGCTTTTTTACTTCTTTCTTTCATTATTATTATTATTATTATTTTTAATGTGACTTCTTAGAAGCAATTTTTGTAAATCCTTTGGGTGTCCTACAGCCTACCCATGTTTCAAGAGACTTTGTTGATCAGACTTTGGTTTCAGTTTCAGTTTGACTCGTGGGAAGGAGAACCAGATGAGAACACAAAATCAAACCAGTGTGTTACTTTGAATTAGGGCTTCCAAACTCAAAACAAAATCAGCAGGAAAAACAAAACCCCAAACACCATAAACTTCTACTTGGACTTGGGCTTGAAACCACCTGAGATGCCCTTGGCCAGTTGGAGAGGCCCAGAGAGGTGAAAGGGGAGAAGTGTTTGAGGTAAATGCACAGGTTATGGAGAGGTGATGCCAAGGAGAAAGAACAGCTTTGATAAGGGAGGGTGGGGAGGTGTAAATGGCTTTTCCTTGTGGTCTGGGCTTAAAGGAGAGCACAGCACAAGCACACCTTCCTCAGCCAGGCAGACATCAATTTCCCAGGCTATCAACCACCTTCTAGGCTTGGCCATTACATTCCATTTGAAGTCCTCTAGGAGCAGGGATGAGCTTCTCCAAAAGACTTGGACAAATGATTTTAAAACAACTGTGTTGTTAATGCCCTCCAAGGGCCTGGGAGGATTCATCCAAGCCCTTGAGCTCTAAAGCTGTAAACGTTTCCTGACCTATTTCTCTCCTTGCCTGCCTGGGAGACGTCCAAGGGAGTGCTGAGGCCTGATCAGACAAAGCAGCACCAGTGCTGCAAAGCCACCTGCACCAGTGTGTGACTGCTCCAATCCTCAGCTACAAAACTGCAGACAAGGGGCAGAACAAAAGTTTGGAAATAGTCTCATTATCACTTCGAAATACGCTCCTGGGGTCCCCAGCCTTGGAAATTTGGCTGTGGTCCCTGGAGAAGCAGGATCTGGGCAGTGGGGTGGGAGCAGAACTTCTCATGAGTTCCAGTGTTCAGGTGGGCTTTACCTCCTGGTGAAGGGAGATGGGAGTTGGGGAAGGGCAAATGGACTGTGCTGAGGCTGGATAAGGCACAGCAGGAGGGGGTGGAAGAGGAGGAAAGCGCTAAGAAAAAGGCACAGGAGAGAGAAGTTCCCATCTCCCTTGACCTCAAGGCTTAGAGAAGCAACATGAGTTTTGTAGCTACTGCCTTCTTTAGAGCCTTTCCTGAGAGGTGCTGAATAGCCCAGGGATATCCATACTCACTTCCCTGAGTCTGTGTCTCCCTGCCAGAAGGAAAGACCTGTTTGTTCTGACCTTGGTGCTCTCTCCACCCCGCTCTCCTGCCCTTCCTCCTTCCAGAAGCACAATGCCTGATGCAGGACCGGTGTTTCTGATGATGGGTTTGTGTTTTCTGGGCAGGATCTGAGCGAGTTGAACTCGACCACAGTGAAGAGCCCCACCAACACCGCAGCAGTGCAGAACCTCAAGGCTGGCACCATCTACGTGTTCCAGGTGCGGGCGCGCACCGTGGCCGGCTACGGCCGCTACAGTGGGAAGATGTATTTCCAAACCATGACCGAAGGTGAGTCTGCAGCTGCCTCTCTAAAGGTGACTCAGGGGGTAGAGACATGTGGAGATAGACATGCAGCTGGTCCCCTTGCTGTCAGTCCCTTCAAGGGTGTGTTGACAAATCACATTCAACACCTGGAGAGGCCTGGATGTTTGTTCCACGCAGGGAAGGCCCCAGTTTCTGCCCAGCTTTTCTGTTGTGGGGATGTGTCTGCTCAGCTGGATGTAGAGGAAGCAAAATTTATGTTTTCTACCTGCACAGCTGCTGATGACAAATGCAGAGCCATGTCTTAATTTTCTAAATTTGTGCTGCTAAATAAAACAGGCCGAGCCAGTTTTCTGGCCCTGGGGCCAAGGACAAGGCACAGCATGCATCCACAGGACTGAACCTTTCCTCCCAAAAGGAACAGCTCCATCCAACCGTCCTTCTGGGATGCATCCCCCAACCAGAGGGGAGTCCTGACTGTCCCAGACCAAAGCCATGCCAGGAATCAAACACAGCCCCTGCTCAGGGCCATCCTCTGACTCCAGTGACCTCGTGAGGGATGGCTCATCATTAACCTGTTCCCTTTCCCCCGTGTGCCAGCCGAGTACCAGACCAGCGTGCAGGAGAAGCTGCCGCTCATCATCGGCTCCTCGGCGGCTGGGCTGGTGTTCCTCATCGCCGTGGTGGTCATCGGCATCGTGTGTAACAGGTAGGGCAGGCTGAGACAGCCCTGGGGCTGGGGAGGGCACGGGGAGGGCGCAGAGGTGCCCCCAGAGCACAGCCCCAGCCCCGAGGGGCCCATGCTGTGCTCAGGTCTCCCTTCCCTTCCAGAAGACGGGGATTTGAGAGGGCTGACTCGGAGTACACAGACAAGCTGCAGCACTACACCAGCGGCCACAGTACGTACCGGGGGCCCCCCCCGGCCCTGGGGGGCCGCTCGCTGCTCGGTTCGTGCTCCTGTTCACTCAGGGATTGTGGGGAGGGCTCGGGGCAGGGTGTGCATGTGTGTGTGGGCAGGGCAGCTCTGTGTCCCCGGATCCCTGCCCTGCTCTCAGCCCTGCACGCTGGCAGGTGCCTGAGCACATCCTCCAGGCCTCTGCAGCAACCAGCACCCCCTGAAGCATCGCTGTCTTCTGCGCTGCAGCCTCTGCCATCACACTGCGTCTTGCTCCTCCAGCTCCTGAGCTTTGCCCATCTCCTGGGCAGCAGTGAAACCCCTTCCCTGACCTGTCCTGTCCTGCAGAGTGCTGTCCCCCTGCAGGACCCCACAGACCTTTGCTAGAGCCCATCCCAGTGCTCCCAGATTCCAAGATATGAGATATATCTATATATAGGTATATAACTCAATACCTAACATGCCCTCTCTTGTAGCCTCCCTCTTCCAACATCCCTGTGCAAGGGCACTCCCTGCCACCCAGCATTCCTGCTCAGCCTCACTGCACACCCTGCCTCACCCCAGTGCATCCTTCTTCCCCCATCCCTGGAAGTGTCCCAAGGCCAGCTTGGATGAGGCTTGGAGCAGCCTGGGATAGTGGCAGGTGTCCCTGCCCGTGGCAGGGGGTGGAATGAGATGAGGTCATTTAAGATTCATTTCAACCCAAACCATTCCATGTGATTAACCCCTGCCTTCATGTTCCTGAAATTCCTTTCTCCCTCTTCACAAGAGACCTGTTGCTCTAACCTTGCTTTATTCCAATCTCAGTTGTGATTTTCCTCATGTTCCACTTGCAGCTTCAGGATTTCTGCCCTTTTAATGCCTTGTTCCTGTACAAATCCAGGCCTTGCTCAGAGCATGGAAAACACCAGCAGTGTTTCCACTCAGGACTCACTGTTGCTCTTGCTTTTACCTGAGAAACATGTCCCAAAAGGCAGAGCTGCAGCCCCGTGCCCCAGCAGCCTGAGCTGGCTGCCTCGCTGTCCCTTACCAGGAAAAATGACACTTTTCAGGAGACATTATGTAAATGCAGCTCTCAGTTGTGTGTCAGTCTGGGCTGCAAACACACATTCACACGTTCTCCCAGGGCCTGGTGTGGGCCATGACAGCTCCAGGCTGGGATGGGTTTAGTCACTGTGCCTGCACCACTCAGAACAGGGAGCAGCAGAGCTGGTACAGCCTGGGTGCCTTTTATCCCTTCCTCACCCAGCTCACCTGGCCAGGGCTGAGTCCCCAGCAGTGATTGCTGTGCAGACAGATTGCCAAGGCCCAGGGAGTCTGTGAGCACTGCAGAACCCCCTGAATACAAGCAGCACCCTGGAGCTGGCAGTCACAGTCTGCTGCTGTGTGGGGCTCCTTATTTAGGGAGCTGTGAGCTCTGCTCTCCAAATAGCCCATTTTGGAATGAGCCAGGGGCCAGAAAATGAGGATGGAAAGGGGAGAGGCACAGGTAAGAGCTGTCCCACAGTGCTGGGATGTGGCAGAGGCAGTCCAGCCTCACCAGGTCCATTGGCCACTGCCTTTCCCGTGATGTGTCACTGTGTCCCCTGCAAGAGGAACCTGTCCTGTGATTTTCCTAGTGTGTCCCACCACTTCTCCTGGGGCTCCCAAGAGGGAGCCCAGCCTTGGGCAGGGCTGCCAGTCAGGAGAACAGGGCAGGCTGGACTGTCCCTCCTGCTTGCACAGCTCCTGGAAGGGTCACAGATCCCCCCACGGAGGAGTCTGTCTGCAGTTTGTAGTCCAACAATGACTTGTGGGCCAGTGTTCATTAAAATCAGCTTTAACAATCCTGTGAAACATGGCTCTGCATGTTCTTTCTCAGACTGTTTCTCTCTGTCTGCTTCGTGCCTTGATTATGCAACTTGCTGAGGTAAAAAGCCCAACACTCAAACATTTTTCTCTTTTCCTTGATGCCAACCATTCCAGTTGCATCCATCTGTCTGACTCTGTCCCTCACCTTTATGCAGTGACTCCAGGGATGAAGATTTATATCGATCCTTTCACCTATGAAGATCCCAATGAGGCTGTCAGGGAATTTGCAAAAGAAATCGATATCTCTTGTGTCAAAATCGAGCAGGTGATTGGGGCAGGTAGGTTACCTGGGAATGGCTCAGCAGCACAGCCTCCTTCATGGTGCCAAAATTTGGGAGGATTCAGCCTGATGCCACTGAGATCTTAATTAGCCACGGGCTGGACTAGAAGGAGCAGGGGAGTCCAGCAGGGGAGAAGCAAGACCATCAGTTCCCATGTGCATATAATTCCAGATGCAGTGCTCCTCATGGATGAGAGCAGCTGGAGGGGTGGAGAGGGAGGGAACACGGATCAGGGGGTGGGTGCTCAGCTCCCAGGGGTCTGCTCAGCCAGGGGTCCCTCAGGGGCACAGCAGAGGTGGGGGAGGCTCACAGGCCCTACCTTGTGTTCACAGGGGAGTTTGGCGAGGTGTGCAGCGGGCATCTCAAGCTTCCAGGCAAAAGAGAGATCTTTGTGGCCATCAAGACCCTCAAATCTGGCTACACAGAGAAGCAGAGGCGGGACTTCCTGAGTGAGGCCAGCATCATGGGGCAGTTTGACCACCCCAACGTCATCCACCTGGAGGGGGTGGTCACCAAAAGCTCTCCAGTCATGATCATCACTGAGTTCATGGAGAACGGCTCACTGGACTCCTTCCTGCGGGTATGAGATCTGGGAGGGTGCAGCTCTAGGGGCTGTGCTAGCACAGAGGGGGTCTGGGGGGAAGGTTCTGGTGTCTCCTGTCACTGGGGCAGCTGCTGCATAGTGCAGAGGTGTGTTTTGGGATCACTGCACAGTGCAGAGGTGTGTTTTGGGATCACTGTACAGTGCAGAGGTGTGTTTTGGGATCACTGTACAGTGCAGAGGTGTGTTTTGGGATCATTGTACAGTGCAGAGGTGTGTTTTGGGATCACTGCATGGTGCAGAGCTCTGTTTTGGGAACAGAGCTGGGGGTGACAGCACCAGGGCTGTCATTTCTTACGTGTCTGTCCACTCATCCTAGTGAGAGGCTGTGCCTGCCTGCCCACAGGTGCACATCCAGACTGACCCATGGGCACCCATGAAGGGACAGTCTAACCCAGCTTTAACCCAGCAGGCTTTAACCCAGCAGGACTCCACCTGCTGCTCTGTCTAAATGTTTCTAGTTCTGGGTTTGAAGTGGCTGATTGACTGTGGTGAAGGGAAGTAAGCTGGTGAACAGGAAGAGATTGTCCCTTCTGAGCTCTCCTGTGCAGGGTGGGTGTGTTTTGGGGTGACAGCAGCTGCTGTAGTGTTGCCCTTAGGATGTGTGAGGCGATCAGAGATCTGCTCTGGGAGGGGATGTACTCATGGCATATCCTGCCATGGGTGTGGAAAGAGGCTCCTGGCTTCTGCCTGGCCACGAGGGGCTGCAAATCCGCTCCTGTCACCTCTGTCCCCGTGTCCCTCAGCAAAACGACGGGCAGTTCACGGTGATCCAGCTGGTGGGGATGCTGCGGGGCATCGCCGCGGGCATGAAGTACCTGGCGGACATGAACTACGTGCACCGGGACCTGGCCGCCCGCAACATCCTGGTCAACAGCAACCTGGTGTGCAAGGTGTCCGACTTCGGCCTCTCCCGCTTCCTGGAGGACGACACCTCCGACCCCACCTACACCAGCGCTCTGGTAATGCTGCTCTTCCAGCCAGGGTGAAGGAATTGAGTGGGAAAGGAAAGGGGGGATGTCCCCCCGTGGCAGCACGGAGCGGTTTTTCAGGGTGTCAGCAGTGGAAAGGATGAGAAAGACCAATGGAATGAAGGTTTTCCCTTCACAAGGTCCTGTCACTCCTGTGGATAGTTGAGCCTTCCTCCAAACACGTTTGCAAACACACACATGTCCATGAAAAGCCCTTGGTTGGGATCATGCTCTGCACCCTCCTGTTACCGCTGAAGATGAATAGATCACAGGCACACAGCTCGAGGTGTGGTGAAAAGAAGAGAGAGTTTATTTTTCCTCCCAGGATTTATAGGTTTCTGACCACGGCCAGGGATTGGATGGTCAGGATAACACTTTCCCACTGCACTGGCCATGAGAGATGCCCATCACAAGACGTGTAACAGAAAGAATGTACACATCTCTATGTTTACAGTTACTGTCCTGGGAAAGTCCTTAGGAAACCATGTCAGCAAGCTCAAAAGCTGAGTTTTCAGGGCGACACCCACCCTCGTGTGATTCACCTTTAAGATGAGAAGCTGCCCTGACAGATTTGTTGCCAGGGCAGAAAGGGTTTTTTACCATCACTGTCCAGTCCTGCTGCCCTGCTGTCCTTCCTCATGTCATCTCCCTTGCTCAGCCCCAGGAAGGACAGACTGAAGCGTAGGAAGTGTGTGTGGGTGCCAGATACTAGATACTGATCTTCCAGAGAGTATCCAAATTAAACAGAAAAGCACTCCTAAAAATGACTTCACGTTCTTGTAGCAACTTCCCAGGAACACAAGTGCCACCACAAACTCCTGACTGGTGTCAGGCTGCAAAAGGTGCCCCAGGACCAGAGGATTATTTGATTTTTCTCAGTGAGAGCTCAGCAAGGAGTTCTCATAAATACCACACAGAAATGCTCTGCACAGTGCATCAGGATCAATGCCCACAGCTGGAATTCTTGGAAATCAGTGTTGATAGAGCTGGAGCATGACCTGTAGGAAATCACCTCTCCTGGGTCTTTTGAAGCTGGCAGTGATGAGATGCCTGCCGTAGCTCTTAGTAAATTTTATCAGTAGTTGAATACCTAAGAAACACCTGAAAATGTGTGGGTTTATTCTCATCCTTCAACTCGTCCATCTTACACAGCCATCAATGGTTTTTACAAACTCTAATAACATTTATTTTTCACAACATGTTCCTTACAGCCAATTAACTTTCCCTTCGTTAACTGAATACTGCTGTTCTCCATCCCTGCTTTTGTGCCTGTAGCTTTTCTCTCCAATAATAAATTTGTCACCCCTAATTTATTCTTGAACTGTGGGCAGTGTAGCAGGACATTTATTATCCATAACGACAGATTATGTGCACCTACTGTATCAGAAGTATCTTCCTCTGCAAAATTGTTTTTATCATCATTCTCCCAGTGACCTTGTGCCCATGGGTGGGCAGCAGCCACAGGCTGTGGCCTGGGAGGTTCATGCTGGACCTCAGGAAGGTCTTCAGAGTGGTGAAGCTCCAGGTCAGACCCCACAGAGATGGGAGGTCTCACTGAAGTGAGTTTCCACAAGAATCCTCCAAAAGTCTAATTTCTACTTTAGAACTTTTTAGCCATTTTTAAAATCAATTTGCCAGGAGTTCTGTCAAGAGTCTTCCTGATGGAGAGGACATCCTGTTTGGTATGGGTTGCTACCTCTTTCCCTCTTGTGGAAATCATAATATTTTGTCTGAGGTTTGTGGCTGTGAGAAGATTAAGGAACATTATCTTTTTTCATTATCTGGCATGGACTGGGGCTGAGTACTGTGAAGTCCTGGGAGACCCTTAATAAGACATGGCAGTTGTTCATTGACAAAATAGAATGGTTTTTAATCTTCTCACAGCCACAAAACACAGACACAGCACAGGGGAAGATTTTCCCTTCAGAAGGTCCCTTGAGTGAATGGCTCAAGTCCAGAGCCCGTGGTAGAAAATCAGGAGGCAGGAAGGGCTTAAGCAGAGCTTTCAATCCCTGTGTCCCCATTTGTGTGTGCCACTCCTGTGCTTAACTCCTCATTGGGAGTGCAGAGTCCTGATTTCTCCAGAGCTGGGTGACAGAAACCCCAGTGCCCATCAATTCCATCCCATTTCCCAGCAGTGACCCCCCATCCCACCCTGAAGGATCAGAACCTTCTGGACCAGCTGCATATCCACAGACAGCACCCAGCCTAGAAACGGTGTATTGCTGACTTCAAAGAGTGGAAGATGTAAAAAGCTGAAAGAAAGGTGTTCTAATTCCCATTATTCTGCTCTGGAGGCAGCCAGGTGACAGCAGAAGGATGGACTGAGATCAGTTTGGGTTTTTGACATTCCTGGCCATTCAGTTTCTACCAAAGACCCTCTTAGCTCCATGGGCAGTTTGCCATGCTGAGGATCAGTGGAGCAGGAGGCAGGGGGAAGGAGCTGCCCTTGGTGGAGGTGATGAAGAAGGGACTGAGGGGACACCTCTAAGTGACCTTCAGGGCAGTAACGAAGAGATCAGAGCCAAACTCTTTGCAGTGGCACCAGGTGATACAATAAGAGGTCATAGACAAAAACATGGCTGGGGAGGTTCAAGGTGAACAACAGGAGAAGCTCCTTCCTCAGGAGGTGGGTGGGACACCAAATGGGGAGAATCATCATCACTGAAGGCTTCCAGCATGGCTGGACAATCCACATCCACCCTGAGGGACAGACAGTCCTGTGCTCCCTTCCTTCTGGGATTTTACCAGAATGCCACAGACAGTTATTGTGGACACTGCTATTTTCCAGTTGCTCCTGCTGTCTCTGTTCCCATCCCCTGTTTTTATCCCACAGGGGGGGAAGATCCCAATCCGATGGACGGCACCTGAGGCCATTCAGTACCGAAAGTTCACCTCGGCCAGCGACGTGTGGAGCTATGGAATAGTCATGTGGGAGGTGATGTCCTACGGAGAGCGGCCCTACTGGGACATGACCAACCAGGATGTGAGTTCTTGGGAAACCAGGGGCAGGAACCATTGGAATCAGGAGCACTGCAAGGCCACAGCCTGTCCCAGCCTGTGGCATGTCCAGAGCTTTCTCTGTTGTAGCAGACATGTTCGAGGTCAACACCTTTGGAAGCAATAATGGGAATAATTCGGGGATTTATTCTGGTGCTGCCGTGGCAGAGATTGGGAATTGCACAGCACCCACTGCACAGGGTTCAGGGGAGCACCCCAGGGGTGTTGGCAGATGCTAAGAAAGGGAAGAAGCAGGTGGGTGGAAAAGGAGATGTCCCTGAGCTGAGTGCCTCTGGAGCAGGGCTTCATCTGCTGGGATCACAGACACTCCAGGAAAGTCTGTTACAAAGCCACACAATGGCTTGGATTGGAAGAGGTCTTTAAAGATCATGCACTTCCATCCCCACCATCCTGTGGGCTCCCCTAAGGCCTTGCCTTACAGGGAGAGAGCCAAGCTCCCTCTTCCTGTCAGAGGCAGATCAGACCTTTTCCATCTCAGTAGATCTCCATCAGGATTCTCCAGGGTGGGACTATTTCCTCCCTAATGGTGGGAAATTTATTAACATGAATTCCTAAGCCTGGAGCAGGTGGATGACGTTTTAGAACCTTTGGCTGTTCACAGCCTTGCCCAGCTTCTGCCACATCAGGAAAATGTTTCCATGTTGGAGGCAGAGGGATGGGACTTACGGGGACAATTCCTTTCCTGCTAAGCCATCATTACCACCTCATTTTCAAGCACATCCTGCACCAGGTGTTCCTGTACCTTCCCCATCCTTTGTCCTTCTCGTGGAGCTCTTCCCAGAGCTGTGCCTGTCCCCAGCTCCTGCTCCCCCTCGGTGCCCCAGAAGCTGTCAGCACTTTAGCACAGCTGGTCCTGCTGTGGAGGAGCGTGGCGGGTATTGAGGGCAGATTACCCTCCTGACCCTGGGGTGTGAGCGCCTGGGGCAGCTGCTGGCAGAGGACACCGAGAGAGCTGGAGCCGCATCTGGGATGTCTCGCTGGCAGCAGGGATGAGTGCTCGGTGTTTGCGTGGTGCTGGTCCCCACCCTGCACCTCCCCTGCCCTGTTCTGGGTGCTCCTGACACCCAGGGAGCTGGGATGGGGCTCAGCAGCCCTTGGGAGGAGCCCTGAGCTGCACAAAGCACATCAGTAGCCATGGAATCCTTGAGGCTGGAAAAGGCTCTGAGATCGTTGAGTCCAACCATCAACACAGCACTGCCATGTTCACCCCAAACACGTCCCCAAGTGCCACATCCACACAGTTTTTGAAGCCCTTCAGGGATGGTGACTCCACCACTTCCCTCCACAGCCTGTTTCAATGCTTCTCAATTCTCATTCCTTTCCATTAATATTTTTTTTCCTACCATCCAATCTAAACTTTTCCCTGGTGCAACTTGAGGCCATTTACTCTAGTCCTGCCACTTGTTACCTGGGAGAAGAGACCAACCCTCCCCAGCTCCACCCTCCTGTCAGTGATTTGTAGAGGAGTTACCTCTGCTCAGACCTTCACAGGCCTCTTGGGGCCACCACCGTGTCCAGCCAGGGCAGCAGAGCAGGGGGAGGACTCTTCCCTCTGGCAAATTTTGGCAGCAGCAGTGCCAGCCCCGTGTCTCACACACAACAGTGCCTGCAGCACCTCCCTCCAGTCCATTCCCTGCCTAGAGCCACAGACCATCTCTAACCCTGCCAGGGGCCCCACCTCACACTCTGGATTGTTTGGCATGGATCAGCCACCAGCATTTTCCTGCTTCTCTCCCATTCCCATTCCCAGTGTCCTTAATTTTCTCTGTGTAGTCTCCCTACTCAACACTATGTCTACCACCACGAGAATGTCTAGAGTTCCCCAGGATGCGGGCACAGCCCTTGGGAATCCCACCAGGAAGATCTCTGTCCTTGGAATTGTACAAGACATGGCTGGACACAAACTCCCATGGCTGGGAGTTACAGTGTGAGGTGGGGATGACATGGGAAGGCAGCAGTGAGTGCAGGCTGCAGGATCAGTCATGTCAGTCACCCTCAGGATCCAAGAAAAAGCACATTATGAATTAAATAGGTTTTATCACAGCTGAATTGATGCCTCTATCCTGCAGGTGATAAATGCCATCGAGCAGGACTATCGGCTGCCACCACCCATGGACTGCCCAAATGCCCTTCACCAGCTGATGCTTGACTGTTGGCAGAAGGATCGAAACCACAGGCCCAAATTTGGGCAAATTGTCAACACCTTGGATAAAATGATCCGAAATCCAAACAGCCTGAAAGCCATGGCACCTCTCTCCTCTGGGTATGTCTCTGTCCTCCTCTTGTCCTTTGGCTCCTCTGAACAGGTCTGGTGTCCTCTGGGTCCTGCTGGCACCATCCCTGCACCTCTCAGGACCTACTTCAGAGCTTGGTCTGTGTTGGATTATAGGGAGAGCATTAAAATATCATAGAATCACAATTCAGGGTGGAAGAGACCTTAAAGCTCATCTCATTCCACCCCCTGCCATGGGCAGGGACACTTTCCACTATCCCAGGTTGCTCCAAGCCCCATCCAAGCTGGCCTTGGGCACTTGCAGGGATGAGGCAGACCCAGAGCAGTGATACAGATGTCAGAGTCCCTCTTCTTGGGCAGCACAGGCTGCTCTTGGACAGTGCACTCTGCACTTTGGTTTATGCACATGGAGGTGCTGGGGCAGTGGGGTTCCTCTGCTGTTCCAGTCCCACTGCTCTGGAAGCAGATAAACCCCCATGAAGCAGTGTGGGAATCCCTGGGCTGGCTGGGAGCACCTGCACTGCTTCTGTACGAGAATGAGCTTTGTCCCCATGCACAGCCAAGATTTAAAGCTGCATCCCATCATCTCTGATGGCTCCTGCATGAACTGATCCAGAAAGGTTTCCCTGATGCTCTGCACAGTCCTTCCCTTGTCAGAACAGTGATTTCTGGCTGGAATTCCACAACCCAGGGCAGTGCCTGTGCTGTGAATGATGCTGATCCAGTGCCTCCAGCTGCTGGAGGCTGCAGGAGCGGCCGTGCTCGCAGCTCTCGGTCTGTCACTGCCCATTTCTGTGTTTCAGGATGAACCTCCCCCTCCTTGACCGCACAATCCCGGATTACACCAGCTTCAACACTGTGGATGAGTGGCTGGATGCCATCAAGATGAGCCAGTACAAGGAGAGCTTTGCCAGTGCTGGTTTCACCACCTTTGATGTAGTATCTCAGATGACTGTAGAGTAAGTGCCCAGGCTTTGAGTCCCAAAGCACAAGGGAAAGTCCCAGCAGCTTTGCAACAATTGGTATTGAATTAGACTTTATTTTTATATGATGTAGTTTTACTTTTATAGAATTGTTGCTTTGTGGAGCCGCTTTTAATCTGTTCAGTCTCCAGACCATGTGTCTGTCACTCCACACCTGCAGAGTTCCTCTCCCTGCTTCCACTCTGTGAAAGTGAACACCCCCACCAAGGGTGTCCAAACCCCAACGTGGAACAAGCTGAGATTTCAAGCTGGCATCAGACAATTCTCCAGAGCACTTCTGAACACTGCAGTCCTCTTGGATGTCTGAGGTATTGATGGAGACATCGTGGTGCAAAGTTCTGCCTAAAAAAAGCAGAATCACCGAGTGGTTGCAGTTGAAAGGGACCACTGGAGGTCATCCAGTCCAACTTTCCTGCTCCAGCAGGGTCTTCTAGAGCTCCTCACTCAGGATTATGTCAGTGGAAAGAGATTCCACACCCTCCCAGCAAGGCCTGTTCCACCCACACAGTAAAGAGGTTCTTCCTCATGTTCAGGTTGATCTTTCTGGACATCAATTTCTTCCCACTGCCTCTCATCCTATTGTTCTGCCACATCGAGCAGAGCCTGGCTTCAGCCTCTGCCACACACACCTCGATAAGATCCCCTTCTGGGGGGTGGTTTCAAGTTCTGCATCCACTAAAAATGTCCTGGATCTTCAAAAATCATTCTGCAGTGATGAATTCTAAGCAAGTTCTTCAGGGAAATCAGGCAGCTGAAATCCCACTTTTGGTGGGTTTTGAAATCCCTTGGGGCTGGCTGGGACCTTGATGCCTCTGCTGAAAGATTTGTGGCTAGCTGCAGGTATCTGTAGAAACCTCAGAAAGGGCCAAGCATTAGAGCTGTCTGTAAGGGTTGCTGGTGGCCAGGGAGGTTTTTGGATTTGGTGCTTAAATCCAGATCTTAAATCTACCAGTGAGTCAGAATCCATTCACTGAAGCAGTCACTCAAACAGCCTGCTCTGGTTTTTTGTTCTTATTTACTGCTGGGAAGTTTCCATGACAGTTCTGACTGCTTTGGGACATCTGTGGTGCAATCCCAAGGTTCTGGGGATGATTTTGGCACAGTATTGGCTGTGTTTATTTAACACAAAAAGAGAAAAGTCCACAAAATCTGAAGGGTAGGGAAGAACTTTGACCAAAGAGAGGTATCAGACCACAACCCACCCCTGCCTGGGATCAGCTGTTTGCAATATCTGACAGCAAACAGGATGCAGACAGTCCAGCTAATGCTGGCTGTTCTTTCACAGACATCCTTAGGGTCCCTTAAATCCACTTCTCCCAGTCCCTTCCTGTCCTCTCCAAGAGCCTTCACCAAAATTCCAAGGGCATCCTCAGCTCATGTCCCACCAGTTTTGGCAAACTTCCATTCCACACTCCTCACCTGCTTGGCTGGATGTACAACAGAAAGGACAGTCCCTTTTTGCTTGGAAAATTGTGGTGTAACAGGACTTGACACCACCCCCTGATGTTCACTGGCCTTTGCAGAAGCTGACAGGAATGTCAGTGGAGCTGCTGGTTCATCCAGATGTGGAGAGCCAGCAAAGTGTGAATGTTTCCTGGAAAGTGATTCAGTTCACCAAATCCACACAGGCTCAACACTGACCTGCTGGAAAGGGTTCTCACTGCAGGCTGCAACACCTGGGACACCAAATTCTCTTCCAAGAATCACAGAACCATTTGAGTTGGAAGGGACCTTAAAGCTCATCTTGAAGGTTTTAAGACACCTTCCAGCGGCCACAGCTTCTCTGGGCTGCCTGGGCCAAGGCCTCACCACCCTCTGAGCACAGAATTCCTGCCCAATATCCAATCAGATATTTAATATCCAAGGCAGAAAGTTTGGAATCACAGAGTAAACAATCTTACTCTGGTTTACAGACACGAGTGAAGAATTTTTTCCACCCTTTGGAGCTCCTCTTTACCCTTCTTCGCCCAATAACCTCCATTCTGAACATGGCAAAGGTTTTGCCACTCTTCCTCTTAAACCTCTGTTCCTAGCACTCAAGGACAAAAGGCACCTGAAATCCCTTCAAGTCAGGTTTGGGTCACGTGGCCTCCCCTCCCCTGATGGGAAGAAGAAGATCTGAAGATTTCATGACTGAAGTTTACTCACCGTGGGGGAGATGAGAGCAAACTCAGCTGGAGACATGGATAGGACCAATTTAAAGCCACACTCATGCTCTTGGCATGACTTTTATTTCTCTCAGATGTCTGAAACTATAAAAAATAGAAGCTGTCCAAAAAACGAGATTGCCTTGATTTAACAAAAGGATGAGTGCAAAAATTGATCACTTTGTGGTCTTATCAGCTCAAAAGAAAAGCATCAAGAACAGCATCATCTGCATGTGGGGGTCAGATCTTCACTGAGGAGGGGCAGGACAGTCCTGTGTCTCCAGGGGAAGAAAACAAGGGTTAGTGTGTCACAAAATGAAAGAAAATCCAAAATGCAAAACAGTTACAAGGGTAAAAAAATTAAGACAAAATTGACAAGCACAGAGCAGAGCCTGTGGCGTTTGGTTTCGCACTCTCTGTCGAGGTTCAGGACTCTGAGAGTGCTGCAGGTGGGTAGAAATGCAAAGATTGGACAATAAGCAAGAAAAAGTGGAAGAGCAGAGGTTTCACAGGGTTGTAGCATGGGGTGGAGATGCTCAGGTGATGCTGCATTCCCAAAAGCGCCTCCAGAGAGGAAATGTCTGGGCAGGCCACACTCACATCCACACACACAATCACACAATCACAATCACAATCACATCCACACACACAATCACACTCACACTCACACTTACAATCACACAATCACACTCACATTCACACTCACATCCACACACACAATCACACAATCACACTCACACTCACATCCACACACACAATCACACACACTCACATCCACACACACAATCACACAATCACACTCACACTCACATCCACACACACAATCACACACTCACACTCACACTCACACCACAGATTGCTGAGTGACAGCCCAGAGCCAGGAAAGGTCTCTGTACGCAGTTCCAGTGGGGTTTATTGCCACTTATTATTTATTGTTTATTTTCAGCCACGCACTGAAGGGCTCCAGGAACAAAGCCAGGGAGCGATGGAGGGGCCAGGGATGGGCTTGGGGGGTGGAGCCGAGGGTCAGGGTCCAATAGGAACAGGGGAAAGTGGTGCATAGGCGGGGCCAGGGAGAGGGAGAGCCAATGGGATCACAGGGGCGGGGCATTGCAGCAAACTGGGGCCAATGGGGAAGCAGGGAAGGGAGAACTTTCTAGAGAAAGGACAAATAAGGACAAAAGGGGAGGGGCAGCCCATAGGGCACTGGGTACCCAGAACTGGGGTACAGTAACGTGGGGTGCAAAGAACTACGGGAAAAGCTTTTTTATGTGGGGAAAACCTTCTTTTGATGCTTTAAATTCACACCTTAGAGGGCTCCTTCCACACCATCACTGCCTTTGGCTGCGGAGCCTCCCCAGGTTTGTTGCATTCATGGATGAAATGTATGGATATTTCAGCTCCCTACACACCCATTCTCATGGAGTCATAGAATCACAGAATGGCTTGGGCTGAAAGGGACCTTAAAGATAATTTTAAGTAATGATCTTGTTCTGTTGTGAGAAAATATCTCCTGATATTTGTGTTTGTTTCCTTTCCTCCCCAAGGGACATTCTGCGAGTTGGGGTCACTTTAGCAGGACACCAGAAGAAAATCCTCAACAGTATCCAGGTGATGAGAGCACAGATGAACCAAATCCAGTCTGTGGAGGTTTGATAGCTGCCTGTCCTCCCTCTCCTCCTCCTCCTCCTCCTCGAGGCCCTGCTCCCCTTTGCCCCTGTATGTCCAAGCTCCAGTTCCTGAGTGTTCTGCATGGAGCAGAGACAGGCAGCTGCTCGGAGGAGCAGGAGGGAACACCCTGTCCTCAACAATGAGAAGTCGCCAAGAGCTTCTAGAATTTAAGCAATGGAAAAAGGGAACAAAACAAAACAAAAAAAAAAAGACAACTATTTTGAAAAAAAAAAAAAAATTAACAAACTACGAAATATTTTTAAATAATAATAAAGCAATTGCATTCTTGAAAAGGGCTCCAAGACCAATGGGAGTCTCCAAAGGAAGAGAAAAGAGCAGCTTCACGTTTCCTCTTGCACAAGGCTGCTGCAGCTGGACCCAGGCACCTCTGGAGCAGTGGGACTTCTCCAGGAAGAGGAAAGCAAGGAAAAGGCCACGAGAAGCAGATCTCTTCCTCCCGTGGGCTCTGGGAACAGCGTGAGCCAGGCCCTTCCCCAGAGCCCCTGTCAGCAGATCAAACGGGGAGAGCTGAAGCTCTTTGGTGCTGTGGAACCAAGTGCATCTCAGAAACTGATGGACTTCTTCAAAAGCTGAAGACTTTTTTTTTTTAAAAAAAACAAAACAAAACAAAAACACAACGAATAAACTAAGACTAGAGGAGGCTGTTTCCGACAAACGAGAAGGAATCTGTAAACGCCTTGGGGGGTGGGGATGGGGAAAAGCAATCCTTTTTACATCTCTTATTTTCTCTTGTCATGGAACAGTTTTGTGAGTGACAGTTTCCTAAGGGTCCGTCCATCCGCCCTCCAATGGCATCGTGTCTCATACATATCATTGCTCAAGACTTTTTAGTGATATCCTTTCTAGATGCCAATGATCTTTTCCCAGAAGACTTCCCAAGTACAGTATGTAGTAGTTTTTGATTACAAATGCTGACGTGTACCTTTATTTTTCGGTTGTCATTGTTGGGAGATTTGTCCTTTTGCATTGTTTTGTTAACACCAGTTTGTGAGTTCGGGGGTTGGAAATTTTCGGTTGGTTGGGGGTTTGGTTTGGTTTTTTTTTTTTTATAATGAAAAAGAAATGACATCTCCAAGCATCATATCATCCAAGAACTTAAATCCCTTCCCTGTGGAAGGAAAAATTGCAGCTTATTGACCATATGCCAGGAGAAAAAGGTTTTTTATATGCACATTTCCTCCCGTTTGCTTATTTGTTCTTTCCAATTGGTCGTGGCACGACAGATGTTTGTGGCTGTTGGGGTTCCAGGTGTTGGCCACCAGCTCAGCTCGGGGGTGAGCAGCACCACAGGGGTTTGGGAGGGAAAGGTGGGAGGGCAGATGGTTTTTGTGAGGGAATGATGACTCCACAGCTGGCTTCAGAGCCCTTTGGAAATGTCTGGCTGCTGAGGAAGGTGTTGGATTGGTGCGTGGGAAAGGCAGGGCAAGCCCAGTTCTCTGAGAGGAGCTCGTGGCACAGCGATTTGGAGTGGGGGTTGTGTTTTCTCCAGGTGGGGATGGGTCCCTGCAGGTGCCAGTGCAGGTGGGACCCTGTCCCTTCGTTGGGTGATGCAGCTTCAGGCTCAGCCCCTCACCTCAAAGAGAGCCTGGGACAGCAAAGACTCCAATCCCAGCTCTCCAGAGGCAAAATGCTGTGCTTGAAGCTGAATGATCAGTAAGTTTCTAAACAGCTGAAATAAATTCTTTAGTTACTGAGCAGGTCTTTGGGATGTATGAATGCCACCAGCCCAGCGCAGGGAGGTGCAGGTGAGAGCTGGGTTGTTCTCCCTGCCCAACACGACCTCACATCCTTTGAAGCGTTCCACGTGTGGCATTTTCCTGGTGGTGGCCTCAGGACTGGTGTTCACAAGCCCTTGTCTGCCTTTGCCATGTCATTCCTGGGCTCCTCCTCTCGTTTTTGGCAGCGAGGAGTGTTGAAGGCACGTTCACTGGGAGCTGCCTGGCTGAATTTTCCAGGGGCTGAATCCAAGAGGAAGCGTGTCTGCTGTGGATGAAAATCCCAAGCTGTCTAGACCTCTGTGGCCAGACATCATCTCCCCAGACTGCTTGTGAAATATGAGGCCATTTATTAAATACTTCTAGCATTTTCTACTGCCAGACCAGATCCAACAACAAAGCCCTTGCGAGTGGCATCAGAGCAATCCCTACAAGCGAGAATTCTTCTCTCCTGAGCTCCTGTCCCAGGGCTTGGTGCTCCAGCAGCAGGGCCTTTCAGTGGAGGAATTGTCCCTGCAGCCCCTGTTCATCCAAAATCTCCAGTGCAGTGTTGTGTTTGTGCTTGCATCCAGCCCAGCCCTGGGTTTGGAGCTCTGGGCATGCCTGTAGTGATGGGAACAGGAGGTGTGTGCTGGGTGTCCCGGTCCTGTCCTGAGCTCCAGGCATCCCCTGTGACAGCCCCAGCATCTCCTGCAGGGCACAGGGGGGTGTGGAGCGAGGGGCTGTGGGCACAGGGTGTGCAGGTGGGACCTGGATGGCTCAGCCCCTCTGCCCTAAACCCAGCCTGTGTGTCCAGAGGGATACTTGGAATGCCTTTGCATCCAAAAATCACTTGCTCCTGGTCAGGTGGTGAGCTCAGCTTTGAAAGGGCATCAAAAATCACTGGAGCTGACTCAACCACAGGAAGTGTTTGCAGAGGGAAACCAGGAGCTGTGCCCAGTCCCAGTGTGGTGTGGGAGCCTCCCCTGGTGAGCCTGTCCCACGCCGTGGCCAGGAGCAGCTGTCACTGTGTGCCAAGGGCACGTGGAGCTGCCTGGTGGCTTGGTCCTGAGGGCAGGACTGTGCTGTGCCAAGTGCCCAGCCCCAGCCAGCACTGACCTTGTGCCCCAGAGCTCTGCCAGGAGAGCTCTGCCTACAAAACTCACCAGCAGATTCCCGTGGGGCAGCCATGTGGAAGGAGCACATGATGCTCCTCACTTGTCCTCCCCAGACAATTCCTGACTGTTCTCTGCCACCCTGCAGACACTAAGGAGGAGCAATGCCCAGGCAGCATCGCTTCAGAGCCACCCAGGCCTTGGAAAGGCACTTCAGGTCCTTTTCATTTGGAGATATTTTGTCTCACTGCACTGAATCTCCTCGCTGGCTGCTTCAGACACATTTACCACTGTGAAGGACAGGTCCCAGTGCCACAGCCCCCAGAGCTGTGGCAGCCATCTGCAGGGCAGAGAAAGCACATCCTTGTCTCTCCTTCTGACCAAAAATCACATGGTGGTGGTACTGAAAGTAACACCTTCCCATCTGCTTATAGCAGACATGACATCTGTGTTTGGCTGTGCAGGACTAACGGAGAGCTGGACTAAAATAGACACGGTCCAGAAAACACTGCAGTTTTCTGCATCCCTCAGCTCTCCTGGGAGCACGAGGAACCGAGTTCCTGTCAAGTGCTTGGGTTGTAAACGCCTCTGGCACATGCTGCAGAGCTGGGGCAGAGGCACTGGAGTGACAATAACATATTTATTTCATGGGTCTCCAATGTACTGCTACGAAATGGGAGTCTAATGGAAAACTCAGCGTGTTCCAAGGGGAAAAGGGGAAAAGGCACTTGCTAACATTGACACTGTGAAATGCTGTTGTGCATGTGCATGTGTGCATGTGTGGGTACTTAACAAAAATCATCACCTGAGACATTTTCAGGCAGCTTGTTGCAATTTTCACATTTCCCCTCTACCTTTCAAGCTACCTCCCAGCCCTTCCCTTCTCCCATTCCCATCTCCTGCTGAGGGTCAGCCTGGGGATGGCATTTGGTGGGAATGCTGAGCAGGTTGGAAGTTCTCAGTTGGCTGGACAGTGATGAGTCCAAATCTTGCAGAGCATCACGGGGCAGAGCAGAGGAAGCAAAGCATATGTGAACAGTAAAAAGTTAAAATGTGTTTTGTGGGTCATTTCCAGCTGTTGCCACCAGCCCATTTGCTGGAATTCCAGCCCAGGGGTGTGAAGGAGGAAGGAAAACCAAACCTGTAAGACACTGCCACGAGGAATCACTAGTGGGACACCAAACAGGGCCCTGTGAGCTGCACATCCCCTCCCTAAAGGATCTGCTCTCCTCCCCAGTAAACCCTCAGAGCTGCCTTCCATGGATTAGTGGAGATTGGTGTTTTTCAGCAGCTGAAGAGCTTCTCCTCTCCATAACATCCTCCCTGCCCAGCAGCAGCTTCCAAAGGCAGCAATCCCTGCTTGTGTCATCCAGGTAAACGTGGCTGTCCCAGGGTTTTCCCTGCAGGATTCCTTTAGTGCTCTGATCCCAGTGTGGGCTGGGATCCATCCCATGGCAGGGTCAGCTCGTGGGCATCACCCCAGGGCGAGGGGCTGAAGGACCTGGGCACACAGCAGAGCTTCACCCACCTCAGCTGTGCCTTGCAAGATCAGCCACACAGGGACTGCTCCCGTTCTCCCTTTCCCAAGGTTTTTTCCCCAAACCAGCATCCTGCTCTCCTCACCAGCTGCTTGAGCTACCCAGAGCAGCTCCCTCCTGGCCTGGCCTGAGCTGAGACCTCAGAACCAGCTGCTGGCTGGGCTACAGGGCTTTTCCCACCCTCCCTGAGGCTCTTCTTGGAATTTGGGTTAAAGGAAAGGTTCTTTCCCAGGGATCATCGCCCAGGCTGCAGATTAGGAGTGAAAAAAACTTCTTGGAGGGTTGGAGCAGCTGAGGAAACTTCTTGTTATATTTGCCAGGCTGATTTATATGAATCCTGGAGTCAGGGCTTGAACTCTGCTGAATCGTTAGCAGTTGGATCCTGTGATGATGCAATAAATCTGGGACTGCCTTGGATGTACAAATCCAGAGCACTGCAAGTGTCACTGCTGTCTGGATTGGTTTAGTGGAGTTTATTGTTTTAATGTAAATCATCTTCTTTCCTGCATGTCTAACTCCAGGCTGATTTAATGGAGGTCTTTTTCCATCCTCAAAAATGTTAAATATTTGCAAGTTCTTCACATAGGGGATTCAACTTTTTTTTATCTACAGTCACATTTTGGCCTTTTTTTTTATTTCAACTTGTACAGGATGTCTTTGCTTCTTGTAATTCTCTGCCCTTCCCAAAGCCAGGACACAACCTTGGCCTGTGTTTGCTTCCATATGTGTTCCAACCTTCCACTGCTCTCCTAGAAAACTCCCTGCACTCTCCAAATATTTCCTGGAATTTACCTCCTTGCTGTCCACGTGTTAACTCCTGCCAACTCCACTGACAAATGTTATTTGCAGAAATTTGGGACTGGAAGCAAGAAGTCCTCTCTCTCCACAAATCTTTTCCTGGATCTGCATTCCTGCTGTCTTAAAACTTATTCAGCAGTATCTCTCCTTTTTATTTTATTTTTTTTTTTCTCCTTTTTTTAAATTCTGCAAGAAATTCCTCTGTGAGCTCTGCAGGAGTGCCACTCTGTCTGATTCCACTGGGACATCCCAGTGCCCCCATTGCCATCCCTGCAAACAATCCACAACCTTCAGTGCCTCGTGTTTTTTTATCAAGAACTCCATTCTGCCTTCGTGGAAAAAATAAAAAGAGCAACAAACACTTGGTTGATCCATTTCCAGCTCTTTTGTTCCTGTAAACTTGAGGAATTTTTCACCTGACTCAACTGTAGCTTCTACTTCTACCTCTGGGGTCAGTCTGGAGCTCTTGCACAGATCCCTGCCACATCCTTTGGTTATTCCAGCAAAATCTGGGAGGGAAGGAATAAATTTTGTCTTTGGGAGCCAAACAGCTGTGTTAGGAAAAACTAATGGAAGGGGTTCAAGGAGGAGTCCTGCCCGTGGAGGGAGTTGGAACAAGATGATTTTTAAGATCCTTTCCAAGCCAAACCATCTCAGGATTCCGTGAGGACCGAGGGGGGAACGTTTCTCTACCTGAGGATGAAGCTGGCAGTCAGATCCTGCTTTTTTTCCCCAAATTTCCTTTGCTCTGCACTTCCAGCTCACTGACTCCAGGTTGAGTGGGCTGGGCTGGGAGAAGGAGGTTGATAAAATCACCAGTCTGGGACAGATGGTGTGGCAAAGCCACAGCCTGGCTTGGCCTTTGCTGGTGGAGAATAAATGTGAAATCTCTGATTGCTGTCAAATATTGGCATTCAGGAGCCTTCACACGAGGTCACGAGCCAGTGGATTTTTGATGTGCTGGCTCTGCAAATGCTGGAGATGCTTTTGTTCTCCTCCACTCAAAAAGGATACACAGAAATAAATGA